ACACACACACACACACACACAAACACACACCACTCTTTGCCTTTGGTCTGTTTTCATCTCAGGCCGGATGTTTGATGGCTCACAGTTGAGGAAGAGGAAAGGAATTCATACACACCAGTTAAAAATGGTTATTACAGCCGACGAGGCTGCCTGATTGTGGGATGTAGTTTAGTCTTATCGTCATGTTGTGTTTACAGTGGAGCTACACGTCAATCCAGGATGATGATAGTCTGGTTTTTTTTTGCTGTGTGCACATCTCCATCCGCTACCGCATCTCTACAAATGGCAGACAAATCATTGGTTTGACCGATGAAAAATGTCTCCGCAGATTAAAGCATGGGTGTCACACTCCTAGATTTACAATATATACTTGTTATACCTCCCATAATGCTGCACGGCAAAAGATGCAGAAATTGTAGGTGTTTAAATATGTCTGGCTGTGTCCTCCTGTGAATGCTCCAGCTCCAGCTCTTTTGTGCGACTCGGTGTGCTTTTGTGTGTTTTGTCATTGTGTGATGCTGACTTTGTGTTGCCCTGGCTGTGTCCTTTTTGGCTGCATTCTTCTGGCCTAGCCAAGGCCAGCGGGGTTTTTTATTTTCTGCAAAATGGTATAATTTGGCAGCTATTTTTATTGCAGGGAGCAGACTGCAGGGGCCAGTTATTCATTCTTCCTGTCCAAGTCCAATATGCACAATGTCCTCGTTTCACATGTTTTAATGCCCCTAAATAATATTTTTCATTTCTTTTCATGGAGTGAAAAGGAAAAACGTGTTTATGTGATGTGAATTCATCACCCACCGCTGTGATGAGATGTATCTGACCACATTCTTGGATTTCAAGTGTTTTTGTTGCAGCTTTACGTTTATAATTTAAAGGATCAGTATCGGTTTTGAAAACTTTTTTCTTATGAAACATGGAATGGGAAGAATTTTCTCCAAGCCCCTGAAGCCCCTCATGAGCTTTTATTATTGCGATCTCCTTTGTAGGGCCACCACCAAGTCTCGTGAACGCCCAGTGCTAAGAGAAATATCCTGGGACGTTAAATGAAATATCGGGGGCAAAGATCAAGCAAATGTTTGAACGGTGTCACATTTAGATGAAGAAGAGGATTAAGATTATTGAGCAACAACACACAAAAAGATGAAGTGGCCTTCTTCCTTTTCTTTTCTTGCTCTCTTGTTCTATGAACTCCTCTCTGAACTTCACTCTTTTAGTTGATGTCCATTGATCTCTTGGTCCTGATGATGTTGAAAGCCAAAATTTGCTTTCCTCTTGCTTTCAATTAAAATCTGAAAACTAAACTACACGACCCACAGACATCAGGACTTTTGACCCCTCTGCAGGATTACTAAATTAGGGAAACAATAAGGAATTATCACACAAAGGTTACAGATTATAGGGTTTTAAATCACCCCAGGGTCCAGCAAAGGACTGGGTTTTATTTTATAGGATTAGCTTCAGGTCAAGGGTCACACTTTCCTGCTGTAGGGATCTATCGGCCCGGTAATAATGAGTATTTCTATTAGATTTGAGGCCGAGTGGCTGCGCTGTGGCGTTAGTTAGGTCAGTGCAGGCAGGATAAAGCAATCAAACTGACACATGCTTACATGTCTGGTGACCTCAATTAGCAGTGAGTGTGTGCACAGCTATGACCTAATGGAATTTTGGTTTCATGACATGCATACTCACTTGAACACACATACACACTTGCACACTCCTCTAAATGAATGGTGGCTTTGTTTGAGTGTTGGGTGGCAGGAATAAAGTTTTCCAGCACTGAGGTGATGTCTTCTGCACCATCCAATTGGTCAGTGAGAAGAGACTCGCTCTCCTGGGAACCGACGTGGTGAGCAGGAAGCAGACAGTGACATTTTGTCAGTGTGGTTTTAAGTGACTTTGGTTCCCAGAGTCGAATTCTGGCAGGTCTGCCCTGAAGGAAATGAGAGCTCCTCTCCTCACCAGCCTGCAGCTCCTGCTCAGCATGCCTGTAAGGTGTGGTGTAAACACTGGAGCTTTGTAATTAAGGATAAGCAGACCATTTCATAATATTTCAATGTCCATTTAGCACCGACTGCTATCTGTGGCCTGTGGTTGGATGAACCTGTCAGGAGAATGTTGCTGTGTTGATGTTGCCTGTTGAACTCCAGACACACACACACACACACACACACACACACACACACACACACACAGACGTAATGTTATGGGGAGTTGCTTTTTATCCCCACAAGGAATATAATATCAAAAACCCCCTAATGTGACTGTGTAAACATATTTAGCTCCCAACACGAGTAATACCCAGACCACACACACACACACACACACACACACACACACATACGTACACACACACCGGCCCTCTCTGCATTATGTAGGTGTCTCCATGTTCCCATTACATTCAGTGCGTGCACAGAACAGACGACCCATGGCAACATGATCTTTTGTCCTGAAGATCACGACTACTACTATGCTGATAGAATACAACCTGCCCCATGGTTGTTGTGGCTCTCTCAGCTTTTAACGATTCTGGACACTTAGCTATTCAGCCATTAGCACAATACAACATCCCTCACGCAATGAATCTATTTTTTTACTCTCATTTAAAAAATATTCCATTCACATATCCCTATCTTCTCTTACTGAAACCGAGTGGACATAATATTAATAATAATGAAAAACATCTCAAACATACTACAGCTTCCAAATTGATCACACAGTTGATGCAATATCTCTGAAACATTTCAAACATTTGAACCTTCAGTGATGTTGGATTTATTACAGGGCCAATTAGTTTGCATTCACTCCACATGGTGTGTGTGATAAACCGTTAGTGTTCACAGTAAAACTAATGCTGCTCTCCCTTCTCCCTCTGTTTTCTCAGGTGTGTAAGTTAAACATGTTGCCACATTGCTCCCTCCTGCTGTTGCTATGCGTGGCCCGGCTGCTCCCCGCCTCCTCGGCCTTGCCCTTCGAGCAGAAAGGCTTCTGGGATTTTGCAATGGACAATCTGGACAGCGGCAAGCTGATGGAGATGATGAGGGATGAGGAAGAAGGTTCAGCCGTGGAGGAGGTCTTCCCCCCGGATGTGCACATGTGCCCCTTCGGCTGCCACTGTCACCTCCGGGTCGTCCAGTGCTCTGACCTCGGTCAGTGAGTGTGTCTGTGTGTGTGTGTGTGTGTGTGTGTTGCACGTTTGTTATGCCTTGTCATCATTTCGCAGTGTGTGTGTCTGACAGGAAGTTCAGCAAGGAAAACAAATGAGTTGAATGACAGTGGGTGAGGGAGCATGACTTTGTGTGACTTTCACAGCTCCACAGAATAACCCCCCCCCCCAGACACACACACACACACACACACACACACACACACACACACACACACCGGCCCTCTTTGGTGTATTATCTAAGGGAGGAGTCTCTCCCTCGGGATAATGCTGGTGTATTTTCACAAGGGAAAGCATCTCTTTGAGGGATTTTGTGTTCCAGACTGTGTGGATACTGGGTGGGAGAGGAAGGGAGAACCGGTGAAGAGGAGGAGAAAATAAGGCAAAAAAAGAGATCAAGAGTGAGAAGGAGGAAGTTAAAGAAAGGCAGAGAAAAAAAGACTCAGCATTCGAAAATAAGGGACACTTTGATGGCAGGAGATGAAAAGTTTATAATGTCCTTACTGTCTCTAAGGAGCTGGTTCATGTTGTTTTTGGGACACTGACAGGATGTTTAATGGAAACCCAAGACAGCAGAGGAGAGAGGAGGGTGGGAGGACGACTGAGTTCGTCTAAATGGATTTGGAGAAAGAGAATAAAAAGGAATACATGACAGATATAAAATAGATTTCCTGTCAGATGATGTGAGGATCTCCCATATTTATCATTATGATTAAAAAAAACTCTCTTCCCTCACAAATCAGTAAAACATAAAGTCAAAATATAAATTTCAAGGTTGCGTTTACAGTCTGTCTGGAACTTAATTTTAGTTGTGTTTCCATATAAAATGTCATGACTATATATATGTTATAAGTGCAGGATTCTCGTATGTCTATTCTTACAGAGCCAAGGAAACTTGAACCAGTCTCGGTTATTGATATAAAGATTCCTCACATTGTAACTCATAAGTCTGTGTTTAGACATCATGGTTTTGTCGAATCATCATACAAGCTCTATGTATTTACTGTCCCTGGTCCTTCTGCAGCTGGTAAATGTGGAAGCGTATAATTTCCGAGATGTCAAGTGCTTATTTGGAACAGCTGCATTTTGGCAATGGCGTCTGTCTCCTCTCAGCGCGCATCCCAGCATGTTGTTGGGTATTTGTGTTGAGGGGTCCTGGGGTTTCGGAGGGTGCTAGTTTTGGCAGTTTGTGGTTAAAGCTTTGAGATCTGCGGCAGATCTGACTGAAAGTACTTTGGTTTGAGGGTTTGGAGAAAGTTGAGGGATGCACTTAATCTGGGTGTTGGTGAAAGTTTTTTTTTCAGGTTTGTTTATCGGTTTGAAGGAAGGGATTCAAATTCAAAGGTTGCAAGTCCAACGCTGCAGGTGTTGACTGAAAGGTTAATATTTCCAACCACACAAATCAACATTTTGCACCTTCTGAGTCATAATCCTCTCACAACAGCTGTAATAACTTCCAGGAACAAGTAAATCATAGAGGCAGAGTCTGGTTTACAGGGTTGACACTTGATTTTTCGACAACAGCTTATCAATTTGATTTTATTTCTTGGATAAGGCAAAATCATAAACCCAAAAACCTTCTCCAGCCGCTGCAGCAGATCTATCTCTCAGCTCGGTGTCGACATGGCTTGAGCAGATCGTCAAAGGGAGCTGCTGCGGGTTTTGATCCGGTGTGGTGACGTGGAGGGTGTGGCACAGTGCAGCCAAAGCCATATATCTAAACATAACTCTAGATGGACAGCTCTGGGTAGAGTCATTTGGGTCAGATGTGGTTGGTGGCACACTGCATCCCAGTGGGACAACCGGCGCTCTCTCTCCATTGGACCTGGTTGCATCACAGGCTTTGGTCCAGATGAGGTTGGAAGATATGCCCACCCTGGTAAGTCTGTGCCACCGACCACATCTGAGACACTTGTCCACGTGGCCCCTGCGATGTGGTCCTGTTAATGATCACTGGTTGCTGTGTTTGTACGTGTGCTGAGTCATTTTTCCAGAGATCCCTGAATGGAATAACGCAGGTGTATTTCCTAGCACTGGTCCATTTGTTGCAACCCAGTCTTAGCCTGTATGAAAGAATTGCTTGGTAAATGATATTTATAAGCAGCCCTGACCATGACAGCATTTGGCTTTGATGCTCGTGAACTTGTCATTTTGTTAACCGCGAATTTCACCAGGACACCAAAATTAGGACACTAATGCTCTTGCAGCCTCACCACTCACACTTTAACACACACACAGCTTGTATTTGTATGTGTTAGTCCCCTGACTCACTTTTATTTGATGTGTGATTTTGCTGAAGGTATTTAAGTCACATCTTTTGTGACTTCTGTTTAATAGAAACCAGACGGAAAACATCTGGTGTCCCCATCTGGTGCGACGGGAATTCTGTGCATGTGAGTGTGTGTGTGTCTTTGTCAGCGACGAACCAGTAATGTTAGTAATGTCTCGCTTCGCCGTCTGTGTGTGTGTGACCTCCATGGTTGTGTGTACATCCGCCTCTCATTAAAATAATAGACCAGCAGCCCCAAACTGCTCATTTGCGATCGTGTGGGAGTCACCGGTTTAATTTCTGGGCCTGATGGAGGTTTTCAAACACACAGTGACTATTTATTTTCCAAAGTCTACGTCTGACTAAGATATCCTGCGAGTCTGATGTTGGTTCACAGTTGCCCATGGAAGCATTTAATGGAGCATTTGATTCTCCTCTTTGTTTTTATTGGTCTGCAGGTCTGACTGAGGTGCCAAAGAATATTCCTCAAGACACCAAGTTCCTGGACCTGCAGAACAACCGTATCACCGAGCTCACGGAGAATGACTTCAAAGGCCTCACTCACTTATACGTAAGAGACACACACACACACACACACACACACACACACACACACACACACACACTTTCAAACTGTCACTCTCAGCGTCGGCTCAGCACCTCCCGAGGATGTGCAACTGATTCAGCTCAGCTTGTATTGGCTTCAGTAGTGTGAAATATGATTACGACCTTCAGCTTCCTCAGGGATTTAGAGGTTCATATCCTTTCTTTTTTTTCTCCATCCCTCCAGCACCCTTTGCTCTGAGAGCTTTAATTGTATTAAAGTTTGAGGCTGAGGCCAAATGGGAGTATTCAAGCTCTCTCAGCAGAAAGGCTCTGCTCACTTATGACCCGCATTTAAGAGTGCTGACCAAGAGCAATATTAAGCCTGGCAGTCGAGGAAACTCCCGACATGACATTATACAATAACATCTCTATTAAGCTCTGTTTACCTCAGACTATGTCTGTCTCCATTTCTCAGCCATGCTCAGGTGGAGAGACAGTCCTCTAGTTGATGGACTGTAAATTAACTGTTGCTGGATCTGTTTTAATTCACTCCAACACATTGAGACAGAAAATACGAGAGAAAGTTCTTTCTTTCTAGTTTTCTGACTGTTTGGATGCTACTGATGTTTTCACAAAGATCAGTTACTGAATTTGGACTCTGTTTTTATTCCTCCAGGGTCTGTCTCTGAGGAATAACCTTATTTCCAAAGTTCACCCTAGGACATTTGCCCCACTGAAGCACATGCAGAAGCTCTACTTCTCCAAAAACCTGCTGACCACCGTCCCCAAGAACTTGCCCGCCTCTCTGGTCGAAATGAGGATCCACGAGAACCGCATCAGGAAGGTGGAAGCTGGAGCCTTCACAGGACTGGTCAACATGAACTGCATAGGTCGGAAACGCTGATGGTTTTACCAAACCATGACTACATTCTGTGCCACGCTGCCACTTTATAATGCTGGTTGGCATTGGTTTATGAAGATTAAAGAGGACTGTATTTTTCATGTCCCACAAACATTCCCCTTTATTTTGCAGAGATGGGAGCAAACCCCATCCAGAACAGTGGTTTTGAGCCTGGAGCCTTCAAGGGACTGAAACTGAATTATCTGCGTATTTCAGAGGCCAAACTGACCGGGGTGCCAAAAGGTATAACTACTCCTTGCTGTGGCTAAAATGCTAACATTTTTATGATAAAGATTTCACACCTGTTTAAGTTTGACACTCGATGAGACTTTAATGAGAAGATTAATCTCTTACAGTAAATATGAAGCAGTTCATTATTATATCACAGGAGAACAGTTAGCTGGGCCCTGTCCACAGATTAATAAAAGTCTGTCCACCTGAACCACTGAAACTACTTTTATAGAGCTTGTTATTTATTTAATCTGTATTATAGGGTCTCAGCTTGTTGTCTGGCAACTGCATGGTAACAACAAAACTCCAGGAAATCACTGCCTCCGACCAAGAGACAAGTCCAACACCAAACCCTCCATAAAACTAAAATGTTTTGTTTTTATATTTCATATAACAACATATAATGTGCTAATGATTTTTGAGCTTTATAGGAGCTGGGAGGCAGAGTTTTTCCCGTTCTAATCTTGTTGCTGTGGATTCATATTTCACTGACTGAAAGAGAGAGGCATCGTTTCTAAAGCCCTTTTCCACTGGTCAGAAAACCCATTAATAACCACTAAAATCTGTCTTTTGTCTGCAATGGGAATGGATACAATCAGCATTTTAATCAGCTTCTCAGCACTGATGGAAACAAGGCAAAGAAAAGACTCAAGAAAAGACTCAAGCACATTTTTAGTGGTTTTAAGTGGATTTTAAAGAAAACTACATTCACCTGTTAATTTTGGTGTAAAGTAAGAAAGCTACTAAGTGCATTTCATAAAATGTCAAAAATATCCCTTGAAATTGAGAAATGCTAAAATGGTGACACACAAAAAAATGACCAGCCAATTATTACACAGCATCAAACCTCGTGCTGATGTTGTGTCTGTCTTTCAGATCTCCCAGATAGTCTCAATGAGCTTCATCTTGACCACAACCAGATCCAGGCTATAGAACTGGAGGACCTGAGCCGCTACAAAAACCTGTACAGGTACAATCCACACTCCATAAACAACTCCAGCCATAACCTGTATTCCATGCACCCTGAGGGATTTGCCTGCATATCTGTAAAGAATCATCCTGTAGTTAAAAGAAACCACATGTAACCACTGAGCAGTGGCCCTTAGGCTGATAAAATGACCTACATTCACACAATACAGTAGAAGAATAGCACTGAGAGTTTACTGTATGCTTGTGTGTGTGTGTGTGTGTGTGTTTTTCCTCTTGAGTTATAATAGCAGCCTCTACAAAAGCTTCTAATGTAGAATGAAGACCAGGAATCTGAAGATGATACCTTCACTCTCTATAGACTTTTATTTCACAGCAGACATTTTGACCTTTGTGAGAAAAGCACAGACAATGGTGAGTCTGTTCCGTTCAAGTGTCCCAGCACGGCAGAGTAAGGTGATACTGGCACAATATCAGGATGGAGAAACTGAAGCAGCTAAACAGATTCCAGCCACAATTCATGTCATTATAAAGGGTTGAGTGGGAAATTGCATTTTTCACAGCTACTCCAAAAATAAGGCATACTTTGTTCCTCTGTGATACTTCAGTTTTCTTTCACCTCCTTCCACCAAGCTTCAAATTAGAATGGGATTATTAATGATTCGTGGTCATTGCCTGGCCACCGTGGCGTTAAATCGTACCTGTTTCATAATACCCTACTTGCAGTGATAATAATCAGTTACTAAGCAGTTATTGTAGGTAATGTACCATGCAGGAACCTGTTTTCCGACTACTGCACATTCCACATTGACTACTACACCCTCCTTTTCCCAGGTTGGGCCTCGGTTTCAACCACATCCGCAACATAGAGAACGGCAGTCTGTCCTACCTGCCCAGGCTGAGAGAGCTGCATCTGGATAACAACCGCCTCACTAGTGTTCCCAGAGGCCTCCCAGACATGAAATACCTGCAGGTGAGTCTAACGTGCACTCTAACATCCGGGAGAGGGAACATTTAACACTATGCTTTGCTCAACCTCTATTTGTGACCCCTGTTTTCTAGGTGGTGTACCTGCATTCCAACAACATCAACCAGGTGGGCGTGAACGACTTCTGCCCTCGAGGATTCGGGATGAAGAGAACGTTCTATAATGGCATCAGCTTGTTTGCTAACCCCGTCAATTACTGGGAGGTGCAGCCTGCCACGTTCCGCTGCGTCAGCGACCGGCTGGCTATTCAGTTCGGCAACTACAAAAAGTAAAGACAGGGAGATGCTGAGCAGTGGAGACAGTGAGTGGAAGGAGGAGCAGCAGATCATTTAAATGATGAAAAAAACTTGAGAGAGAGAGAGAGAAGAAAGGGAGTTAATATTGCAGATTTTTATTATTATTAGTTTTTTGGAGGGAGTGTGAGAGTTGGAGAAAATGGGCAATAAACTGGTGAAATAGAAGAAGACGTCAATAATATGATATCACAGCTTGGAGGGAGTGGAAAGCAAAGCACCTGCAGGGCTTCACCTGAGTTTGAATGAATTTAATGTTTTAGAGTTTTACGATTTGAAAAGGAGGAAACAGAGGATGGTTGAAATTTATGAAAAATGAGAACTGAAAACTTGTGAAGCATTTCATTCCTTTTCTTTTTACACAATAGTGCTCATTGCGATAGAGGCCATTTTTATTTCATTAACATTTTGATTAAGATCACAAGCAAAGAATAGAAACGCAATGCTTTATAGATGTTTTTTATATATGAAAAAGGTGCTATGACTTATGTGTGCTCCCTGTTGGTCTGAAGCGAGTTGGTCCTCAACGTTGTGATTAAAAGATACTGTATTAATATACAACCAGTCACAGAATTGTGGCCATTTTCCACCACGTTCAGACATAAAAACAATTGCACATAAAGTTGAAACTTCACTTCATCGGCTAAACAGCATTTTTTTTGTATATATCATGTCGGTTGATTGATTAAAAGACCAATATGTACAGTTTGAAGTTCCCATAATCATTTTTCTCATTCACTTAGACGAGTGAACCACCAGCATGCCTGTGTAAGGAGTCTATTCTGTGCCTTTACTAAATATTGTGCTGTCTGTGTGATACTTTAATAAAGTATTCCTCGAGGGAGACACTGAGGTTGTGGGGTTTAATTCCCCCGATAAAGAAACACACATCTGCTTTGCTTTGACACAATGAAGTCAGTGGGTTCACACAGAAACAATAGTAGTGTTCATGCATTGTTTTGCACAGTTAATTTTTTCTGTTATGCTTTATCTGCTTCAGGGTTACTATGGGGGTTAGCTTGTTTACGTTGGCAGACCTTTGTGGAACTACTCTAGCCATAAGTAATCTGTCCTGTCTCTGTTCTGTAATCTGACAAGCTACTGCTGCATGTGAATAAAAACCTTTTTTTTTACCCTACTGCATTAAGCCAGTGAACAACTGATGCCCCTGGGCTGGATGCTGTGTGAGAAATAAAGAAGAAATTTCAAAAATGGAAATCAGTTGATGATTGTAAACATTTGGGGGGGTCAGTTCCATGATATGATGAAGATGATGTCATACTTTTAATTCAATAAACAGAATATTTTAAATTTAGAATTACAGTAAAGTCGGTCTGAAGACATTTTACATTTACATCTTTTTTATAGAATAGAATACAATATGTCTTTATTGTCCACCAAGGTGGAAATGTGTCTTCTGCTCACTAAACAGAAGAAAAACAACAACTTTTAATCAACAGCAATTAATGTTTAATAATTTTTCTAATTTTAAATTATTAGCAATCAAGTATTTTTTGTAGTTTTGAGGAATTATAAAGGGACAATAAAGTATAAATAGTGTTTTTGTCAAACAGTTTTTTTTTTTAATCAATGTACACATGCATAAGCTGTCTTCAGGTTTTGAAAATGTGTGTGTGTCAGAGTCTTGTCACATCCCTGCTGCATTGTGTGACTCTTTTGTCTCAGCTGTGGGATGCAGTGTCACTGTGTCATGTTCTTCCCCTGGAGTGTGATGCTTTCCCACTACACTGTCAGCACAGTTAAATACAAACACCCATAATAATGAGTGATAA